GTTTTCTTTGCATACTGATAAAAGTATATAGCCTGTGTGCAGCCATACCCTACCGCCAGCCCGCAAGGTGAAACGAAAGCAAGGGAACGTCTACGCAAACCTTACACTAATCGTGATGTCACTCTTATTCATGCAAAATAAACTAAATATGTTTTTTTGCAAAGCGACACGTGTTAGCGTGAAGGTTATCGAGATAAATGAATCTGTAAATGATGGCCCATTTTTTTGGGTGATTTTCAATTCAGCGTCCGAGTTCAAATATATAAATTGCTTTAGGATATAGAGAAAGATTAAGAGCGATATTTGGTTTAGAGTAAGAAGAGGACGATGCTCGATTACCACCGCGCTTACGAAGCTAGATTTCAACGTCCACGCGGTTTCTGATTGTTAACAGTGCCACTGTCGTCGATTAAAGTTGGATCATTTGCCGCAGAATCTCAAGGTATTTAGATATTTCTTAAAGAGATAGTTACGCTGCAAGCGTGAAGAAAGAGCGACTCTTTTCTCAGTAAAAAGAATCGCTGCAAGAAACAAGCAGCTTAAATTCAATAGCTTTGTAGCGTGGTTCGCAAAGAAACCAAAAGTTGAAGGCGGACAATCCTCTTGACCCAAGTACATTAAGATAGTGCACCTGGTCTTCTGGGAGAGCTTTAACGAGCGGCACAATAAATATAGTGACCGGCTTCTTCTAGAGAAGAAAGGCGATCGATCACTGGCGTTGCTTGATATATCATATTTTCCATAGCCATTTTGTAACGAAATGGAGACATTGTTACCTTCGAAAAATATATCTGTGGCTTTCTACTGTTCTTCTTGAAATGTCTCTACTCCAGAAGTCGCAAAATTTGTCTCACAACCCCGTCGTAAAGTGCTGTTGTCTGAAGAGTTGACCGTGAAAGCATTTTGTTCACCATCTTGTTAGTTAGTATGAATGTAAATTACCGACTCTAGCCAATCAGAATTGACGAAAGAATCGGCAAAAGAGGTTAACCAATAGAAGGTCATTATACATTTTCTTGCCAAAGAGTGACGTCACGGAACACGATTAGTGTCAGGTTTGCGTAGACCTTCCATCGCCTCCGCTTCACCTTGGGGGAAGGGGGGGGAAGGGTACGGCTACACGTAGGTTAGTAAGTGCAGGGAAAAAGCAGGCATATATGGTTGTACACTTTAAGGTCCTCCAGTGACGAGGGTGATTGGACCAACTTTTGTCAGTCATCTCAACAGTGAAATGTAAGTTATCTCCACTAATCAAGACAGAGATGGGCAATCATAATGAAGAACGGCCTTTGTTAAACCTTACACGTGCATAATTCAACGGGTATAGCCGTAAATCGGATACAAGATGAAACGATGACAAACTTATCGGCAACCACCTCTTCGGGAAATAACGCAGGAGAGACATTTCGTCCAGGGACTACTGTCATCGTGAATAATGTCCTTACCTTTCCAATGATGCCATTGTCTAACATTGAAAATTTGTTGGTGCTAAGTGCCGTAAAGAAAAAAAAATTGACTTCGCTCTCCTTTCATATTGCGCATGAACTGTCAAGTAACTTATGAACTTATAACTTATCTTTTGGCACGCGGAGTTTCCCTCCTTGGGATGACTGCCATAAGCGTGGATCAATTTTTAGTTCTACATTACATCACGTGCGGTATAACTAAACAATGTCTGCAAATCGAGCCACGCAAGTATCCCTCGGTCTTTAGTTTATTGGCTCTCCCGTGGCAATATCAATTTATTGGGAAGGTGTTCGTTACTTATACCTGGTTGTTTCTATTTTGGCTTGCCTCACCATGTTTCCCCTTTGCTACGTAAGAATTTACCGAGCTCTTCGTCGCAATCAACTATAGATTCATGATCAAGAACGAACCGTGCAGAAAATTTAACATGGAAGTTATCTATTCCTTCTCTGAAAAGTACCAAAAACACTCTTACATACTTCGTTGTTATCCTCGTGAGCTAGTATGTCTTTACCTGTTTGCATGAAGATATTGAGTATGGCTCCTTCCCTCTAGACAAAGCCATGGAACATAACTGATGCTTTAGCCTTCATAAACTCGAGCATTAATTGGTTCTTATACTCTTAGCGCCTTCACAAGCTCCAGAGGGCAGTTTTCAGAACAAAAAGACATATTTTATGCCAAAAACCTAACGAGACCTTACCATTTAGGCCTATAAATGTCAGTAACTATGCTAGTAATTATACCATATGACAAGAGTTCAGCTCATACAGCTTGATTCTGCTATTTTCCATTCTTTTTTCCTCTTTCATTTCTTCAGTAGAGTCCCTCGAAAGTCAAACCGGTTTCATATTATGATAATAGAAATAATAATCATGAAAAGCTGTTGCAAAGAAGAGATAAGGGAAAAAATAACCTTTTGTTGCTGAAAGTTAATTAAACGGAATATTAGAGTAGTACGAACTGTAATTGTATTTATTTATTATTTAATTGTTTATTTATTATATAGCAAGGGTGCCAATTTTTAAACCAAACCAATTATAACAGAATGTGTTTCGGAACAAAACGAATTTATAACAAAATTTGAAAGCACCTGCGCAATTATACTAAGAAAATTGATCGGCTCAGGCGAAGTGAATTTTTCACTTCGCCTTCGGCCAACAATTGTTAAATATTTACACAAAAAACTCTTAGACCTTCAAACCTTCAAGGCGTGATTACGGTGCTGTTGTATGCCTGAAATTTCCAAAGTGATCCAGATGTAAAAGGACTCGAAACATCGGGAGGCCACAGATCAAGTACTGA